ATGAAGCCGCCGCTTCGTTGTTTTCCACTGCAGTGTATCTCTCAAACATAATCGGCGAGGTATCACGTCTGGCTATTGCTAATTAAAAGCTCAGGCGCAAAATCGATGCTCCCCGTCCATTCTTCTCTTAAATTGGGAGCACTCGGCGGCGCGCACGAGAGAAAAACGAGCGCGGCGCGAACAAAAGATTCCTTTCAGCAGAAATTGCTTGGCCTCCCCGCGTGCCTGCTGCCGATACAGCCGGTGATCGCAGCATTTGCATATTTTTTCGACCGTGTCTTCTTTCTATCTGCGGCTGTGCTTTTGCCATCGTTCATTTGCATATACACTTGCGTATACAGCGATGGAGAAGAGGGCGGACACGGCGAATGTGTGTCACAATTTGGAGTCAAGAGCTTCAAAGCGTATCGAATCGATCGGCCAAAAGGATGAGTTTTTTTTTAAATTTAAATCAAACATTATTGAGAAAAATACAAACGTTATTTCGCCGTCATTGAAGAGTGAAAAAATAGTAGTATTGATAAATTTCAGTTAATTTTAAACGGCCGTTTATTTCTTTAAAAAATCTCAGTTTCAACGAATTTTTCAACGTAAGATCAATAATTTTCAAACGGGTCGTGCCCCTGTTCCGAGATGGAAGAGTTTTCATTGAACGTTTTGATATTCATTCTATTGCGAAAATTTAGACTCAGACTATAAAAGACACCCTGAATCGATTGGCTATTTCAGAAAAAAATCTAAAAAAATCCTATAACTTAAAAGTGTTATGATTTTTAATTTTTTCTTTAATAAGAAAAATTTGTGCAGTACTTTGTACTGTTACAAACAGAAGGAGCGTTTTATTTCCTACAAATTTCCCTTAGGTTTTTTTTTGTAAAAAAATTAGTTTACAAATGGCAGTACTTTTAGCAAACCCTTTTATATCTCACTTGTGCTAAAAAATTTAATAATTTTAATTAAAGGGTCATTTCAAGCAACTTTATTGTTTTTATTTTACATAATTTTATTTATTTTCAATTCTTTTTCGTTGCATTTTCTTGACCTAATGTGGCTCGGGTCACGGCCATCCAAATTGCAAGCAACAATTTCACATTTTTGATTGTTAGGCCAAGATGGCAACCAAGCGCAAAAAGTCCTTTTCATTTTGCGATTTCTCGACGAAAACGCTGAATTTTCGGCCGCCGTTTAAAACTTTTAATCAAGACCCTTAATTGATTCAGGAATTAAAGTCAAATCCTTTAAATTGAACAAATCCTGTGTTTGGCTTTGCATTGAGTCTCCATTTCTCAGAAGAGTTAACCAGGACTTTTAAAATCTATTCATAAGGAGGGAAATTTTTCTCGAATTTATTTCCTTTGATCTTGATTCCGATGAGCTAAATTTACCGCAATGCCCCGCGTTAACCCCGAAGAGTCGCTTCGCAGAAAGGCACAGACATGTGTGTCTCATTCTTTCTGTCTTTTTTTTCTTCCTCTCTAAGCTCCATTACTCGCGTACAGAATAAATTCGGCCTCTTTAATGGCGCTCGGCGACTCTGCCAAAAGTCGTGCGCTGGCTCTTCCTTCATTCGCCGCCGCGCGCAATTGCAAAGGAGCAAAAAGAAAAAAAAACAACAGCAACGTCTAGAGCCGAATGGGTGTCTCTGAGATTCCGTCTGCGAATAATGAGAGCAATGCAGCAGCAACGTGCACTCGAATCCGCGCGGCTATATCGACCCCGTTTTCGGTCGCATCTGATTTGGCGGCTGCCAACTTCACATGTGTGTGTGTGTCGATCTCTCTTCCTCTCTATCTCTCGCGAGGGGTTAATTTTGGTGGTGCCACCTGCAGTCGCGCCGATGCGCCCGCCGAATAAATCATCGTGCACCTATGCAAAAAAAAAAATGTGCCGCGGGGAAATGTGGAGCGCGCGGCGAAAATATGGAGCTTTCGTCCCTGCACCAGATGGAGCGTTCGATTTTTCCCACCCTCGTCGCTTCAGGACGTGTGTCGTTTGCTTCCCGTTTTATTTGTTTTCAAAGGGCTAAAGTTCGGATGAAAATAATTCAAATGCGAATCAACCCTCCGAAAAAAAAATAACTGGGAAATTTATTGTTGTGAGGAAAACCACTCATTATTTTAACTGGAAACTGAAAAAAAAAACATTGTTATTGACAATTTAAAATGAAATGTTGCAAAAATATAACTTTTCGCTCATTCTTGAATAGTTTTATTTTAATATTAAAAATAATAAAATAATAAATTAATATATAAAAATATCATAGAAAAATACTACATTCAAATTTATTGCATTTAACTCTGAAAAACTCTGCAAAAGTTTAGAAAAATTTCATTTTGTAATTTTTTTTTAGATGTCTCACCAATAAAAGCTTCTACAAATTCTAATGAAATTATTTCCAAACAGTTCCAAAATAGTTTTTTAAAAGCAAAATAAATCGTCAGAAGACACAAACAAGCGGTCACGCGACGTAATTTATGAATTTAAAAGGCCAGTCTGAAAATAAAAATTCATAATATCCTCCCACTTACCACGTCCACAATAAATACTAAATACGGCTTCAAGAAATTGGCCTGATCAAATTAAATGAGCAATATTAATAAATTAATTTGCAAGTGAAAATTTAGTCCGTCACGTGTGAAGTGTAAAAAATAATTAATAGATGAGCATGGTCGGCCGCTCCGCTCCAAGAGATGCTTCACAATTAATGGGCAGTCGAAATGACGCGGACACGTGTGCAGCCGTCGCCGAGAGATGAAAAGAAACAAATTGGCTGCTGGGAAGTGTCGACTGCGAAAATATTTTCTCAGCCGCGAGTCCACGCGCGATATTTACGAGTTGAATTAAATTTTTTGGCTCGTTTGCGATTATTTGTTTACAAGCGGCGCTTATCTCGCTGCGAGATGAGAAACGCCCGCCGCTTCCTCGACCTGCCTTAATTATAATTAGGAAAATAATTTATGCTCCAACGGGCGGCGCGTAATAAATTCGCGAGCACGTCGGCCGCTGGCGTGCGAGTCGCAATTAAAAAGCACTTTGGGGACCGCTACGAATCCTACGCGCGCCTCCGTTATTCTCATCACGGGGCAAAGATTCGCCCGCGATTTGTGACCGAGATTTAACGACTTCTGTATTTATAAAATTAAACTTCAGTAAATGTCGTTTATTAATGTTCTACCGTAAAAAGTTTGCTCTTCAAAGTCAATTAATTTCCTTTTTCAAATAAAACTTTGCGCATAAAATTTAACCAAAAGCAAAACTATGGGTATTGAGTTTAATGTTTTTTTTTTTTAAATTATATTTTAAATCATGTTTTAAATACGTTCTTCTTTTTAAGTATAGTGAAAACGAGAAAGTTGCTTTTTGATATTAAATCTATTGTAATTAATGCAATAAAATTTAATTGTCCCTTAAATGCAGATTATCAACAAAGTAAAATGCTCATTTAATAAGAATAATTTTTTAAAGATGGATTGATTCTGGTTTTCACAGCACCACAAACTAAAAGTAAAAAAATTCCAATGAATTTTTACAGTTGGTGGATTCACAAAAATTATCCTCTCCATTATTAAAAAACATCTGGCAGGCTTAAAGCGGCATTTTGGTTTAGAAAAGAACATGGTTCTCATTTTCTTTGTTATTCATGGCGAGTTAAATGAATTAACCCCCAGAGAATGGGTAAAAATAAAATTCGTGTGGAAGCGGAGACACGGCGTTTAAAAGAATAGCTTCTCTCTTTCCGTCACACGGATCCCATTGTGTGCCTTTTATTAATTCGCGGGCGCGGCTTTGTCAAAGAAAAACGTCAGCGAAAAATATTCCCGTTGTTGTTTTACACGGAACGATATGAAGCTGAAAAGAATATAATTGTTTAATAATTTGCTGACTTAAAATAACTTCTTCTTTGTTGGTGTCACACGGCCTAGTTTTTAGCAACTTGCAGTCCTTTATGAGGAGAGCAATGGGAAAAAACAAAAGAAAATTGAATGATCGAGCAGGCGAGAAAATGCATTCACTGGAATCAATCGCCGCGTGCTTCCTCTGATGCATGCACACGTCAAATTAAAAGCCTGGATGGAAAAATTGAATATAAATTCACTGACCTGCTGAAATCCGTGTCTTGATAAAATCAACTTGTCCACTGTGAACAAAGATAAATCATATTCATTCTTAGTAAAACTTTATAATTATGTATTAATTAGAAAAAAATCATGATATCTATAAAAACTTATAAAATAAAAATACTATTAATGGTAATTCACATCCTTGGGTAGAAATTTCCATAAATGGAATGTCACATATAATTAAAAACATAGAATGAAAATAATTTTAAATTATTCACTGCAAAAATGCATTCGGTTTAGGGTGAAAAAAATTTATATTTTATATTCAATTTATATAAATATTGAATTTATTATAAATAGTCTGAAAAATAAATTTATTTTATATTAAAAATATTTTTTGACAAAAATCAATTTATCGTCTAGCAAGAACATAACTTTAAAAATAACCTTTGCTAATCAAGCAAAGGATACATCTTGTTGCGAAAATTTGTCCGTGTCAGCTGACGCCGACTGTAATCCCATTCATTTTTCTGCGGTAGGATGTTAAAAGGATTTTACAATAATATAATTCCATCTCCGCTCACAGAGCTAATGTGATTGCAATGCGGATCAATATTTGATCAGGGTTATGGAATAGCTTTCGGATCACTCGGTCTGAAAGAATATAAAAATTGTTATAATTTTTCTTCCTCGTCAATCGCGAGTAAAAAAATCACAAGCATCGCCTCTGCCTCCAATTTTCTTCCGCTAAATAATAAACCACCCGACAATGCATGCAAAGTTGACAATTGCGAGTCGGCGAAATTTTGATCCGCGCTTTCGGTGGCAGGAGCCAAAAATTATTCTCTGAGCTGCTTTTATCTCGGGTGTGTTTTTTCGCCCTTCGCAGGGGTAAACACAAGAGCAGCGATCTGAAATGTGTTTGTTTGGTGTTCACAGGTGCCTTCCCACCACCCGTGCCTCCACGTTCGGGTAACAAGAAGAAGCATTTGCAAGTGAAACTGGACTATTTACTCAAGACTCGTGCCTTAATCAACAACAACAACAACACCCAACACACGGTACACGTCATGTTGCCGTGACCCAGCTGCCAATGTATAATTAATTAATTGATTAATTACCACTGATTGTTACGAAAATGGTCATTCTCATCATCGAGTGGATGGATATTGGAGCATCACAGTTGCGACCACCAATCGCACGTACCAAACCCCCCGGCCGATCCGCAAAACATCTCTCATCACGATCGCACCCCCGAAGAATCCCCAGACCCACCTCGACCCCTCGGCGTGATTAACCAACAAAAATTGGACAAAAGTGACAAAAAAAATAATTACAATTCCACGCAATTGGCCGAATCCGTTTGAGTTTCCATTGTTATCTGTGTAAATAGTTAATTTATGATTGAACTCGACCCCGAAATCCCCTTCTTTGACCCGTGCCACGCATCCACACATTCACTCATCGAATACAAATGTACAGACTTGCTACTTTATATATATATTTCAAAGTTTCGATGAAAAAAAAAAGAAAACAATATTGCCAAAACTCGATCCAACATTAACGGAAATCCTTCTCAATGTCAGCCACACGTTTCCGACTCAAAATAGCCAATAGCAAGCGACACACGCGTACCCACACTTGCACTCTCTCGGTTCCGATTGTTTCTTTTCACCTTGCGACCGACACACATCCTCGAGAGAAGAAATTGATTTGACGAGTCGAGACAATGTCCCCAAAGTTGCACCAAGCAGTGTCTTTTCCGCCTCTGACTTTGACAGAGCAATTTTGGCAATAAAATGTGATAAACTCGTGTTGAGAAGTGGGTTGGGTTGATGTTGGGTCACACAAGAGAAAACAATACAAACTAGGCGCCTTACAATATTTTTTTCATCTGCTTTGATTTTTTATCTGTAAAAAAAAAAACGTAAGGAGGGGACGCTGGTTTTTATATGTAGCGGCAAGTAAAAAAAAACACACACACACACAACACACACGAAAAACCTTTTTCACTCCACGCAGACGGTCCTCTCCGTATCGCTAGCATTGAATAATTAGCGTAATTACACTCAACACACACACACGCGCGACACCCACACTCACACACAAACACACACACACAACACAGTTTTAAAAGATTTCTATATAGGCTGCTTCGTCGTAGTGATTGAAGAAAATATTTGGATACAGTTTTAAACAAACAGAAACCAATTCCGAATTTATAAGAAAAACCACGAAAAATAAGAGAAAACCAAAAAAGAGTTTTACCACAAATTAAATTGAGATAAAAAAAGAATTATATTGTTATATAAAAATCGTTGTAGGGTGCAAATAATCCAAAGTTATTATACCAATTAGGGGTTGCTATCACCAATTTCAATTGAAAGGTATTAAAAATGTTAAAATAAAATTTACATATAGTCATTAAAAGCAAGCAAATATTGGATTAGAGAAAAGAACGTTCTTGAAATTTTATAAAAATGATGATGCTCAATCATTTAATATTCTCCTTTTTGAACAATTATTATGATAAATTGTTACATGAAGCGCGCGTCTTTTAATTTCCAGGTAAACCCAAATGGAGATGTTATGAGAAGATTATTGCAAAAACACGAAACACACACACACAGACACACAACTCACTTTCACACCACTCTATTGTAAAAAAAAACGAAAGCATAAAAATAATAAAAATAGAAAAAATCTCACTAGAAGAATTGATTTATCCTGTTGTATAAATTTACCTTAAGAAAATCCACAGAGACAAGCACTTAATTCTACTTAAACCTAAAATTTTATCGGCAGCACTTAAAATATATATTTGAATACACTCGACACGACCCAATTCTCATAAAATAACACCCACAAACAAGCGACAAGAGAGAGAAAAAAAAACACTCCTCACTCACCGCGAAAAAACGAGCACACAAACACACCACACACGAAACACACACAAGGGGCTTAAATTAAAAAGAGATATGGAAAGTTTAACTTGAAAATAGGTGAATTTTTAAATACCAAAAATACATTGCTGATGATAAGATTTTGTATTGAAAATTGTTACTGATTACTTGAAGATCATAATTACTACCGTGTTAGAATGAAATAATTGAAAAATAGCATCTTAGGGGTTATAAATGAGAGAGATGAGGAAAACTAGTTTAAGAGAACGAGAAAAAGAGGATTTATTACTAAAAGCCAGCCATATGCATGCCTTATAAATCAAGCTCATATCAATCTTAGAAGAAGATTAAGAGAAAAGATGATGAACGAACAATTTTATACTCATGGTTAAACACAAGAAAAATCCTTCAAAATAGCGAATTCTCTTCTCTTTCACTCTTAACTTAGTCATTTTCATTGTTTTCTACCTCCTCGTTCTAAAATCCGAAGAAATCCTCCTCCTCCTCGTCTATTGGTTCAAAATGAAAGCTAAAAAAAAAAACAATAAAAATCAGCAAAAGGGACGAGACGGGAAAAACTAAAAATAAATAAATAAATTTATACCACGCACCTTCCAATTTTACGACCCCCACACACCCCCTTCGCGTATGTTGAAACAAATTTCATTGTTGATACAAGACGAATTCCATGTATATGCATAAGGCAGAGCGAATTTGGCTCTGCGCGAGTTTTTCCAAACCGATTGGCCTGTAGACAGACCGCAAATATTTCAACTATTTCTTAAGTCCACGGCTGCGTTCTGTGAATTGTGGCTGAACGATGTGATTCAAAATTAGATCTTCACGACAAACTCACCTAACCACATTTTCAAGTCTATATATATATATTATATATATTTCCAAAGAAAAAACGCCATATCTTTCGAAAGCAATAAGTTCTTTTCTCTTGCCTTTCTCAAGTGGTAAAAGTGAAAAACAAACCCCCGGAAAGTTTTAAAAGGAATTTTTACATTCACTCACTCTTACTTAATCAACCGACTAGGTTGGATGACTTCTCGATAGTCTTGCCATATTATACTTCTGACGTTTTGCCCACCAGTAATGCCAAATAAAACAGAGAGTGAAAACGAATAAAAAAAATAATAACACACTGACACACGCAGACACAAGCAGATGGTCTAGCCACGTTGCCGAAGTCGTTTCCGGTTTTTATCGGTTGAATTTTTATTTAGCGGCAGCGGACCGCAAGATCTGCTCGCGTTCGAATTGAGACGTTCATTGATATGAGGATAAAATAATAAAAAAAAAAAAACCACAAGCAATACACACATAAAAGAGAATTTACAAAAATAAAAAGTAATTAAATAGAAGGGAGCTTAAAACTGCCTTTTCCCACACCCCAAAAAACCAGCGCGAAAGCGAGAGATTCTAATTAATTGTTGATATTAATAAAAAAAAAAAATATATTATCCAAGGAACACGCAGATAAAGGTAAAACTTGATTGATTCTTAAATATGGGCAGCCTTCTTTGATCGAGCAATACTAGCGCAGTGAATACATGTGATTTACCATGATGTGTATATGAGCAAGTTGAATTTTAAAAGACAGCAATAAAAATCGTTGATATTGAAAAAAAAGCAGAGAAAGGAAGAAAAGCGAGCAGCAGTGTGTATAAATTTAAATTGTAATTTTAATATTGATTATTCTTGTTGTGAGATGGTTTACTTAACTCTCAATACGAAGTCGATTGCGAACGTTCGATCGATTTCCTCGAATGATCTTTTATGGAATTAAGCGAGAATACGTTTTATTTCTCAAATAAATCTATATAAATATATATGATATCGTTGATTGATTTCTTTTGTACAAAGAAGCAAAACGTGTTAATAATTAATAAACTCGAAGCGCCAATGCAGTACGCGTGGCGCCAAATCACAAATTTTCTTTCACAAGAAAATCTCGAGTCGAAAGCGGAACAAAGAGTTAAAAAAAAATGAATATGCTGCTGAAAGCAAAAGAAGTTGATTGATTTGTATAATATGTCTGTATAATATAATGAGAATCACTTGTAAATATGATTTTAATTGAAAATAAAGAAAGTTATTTGTAAATAAGAGTAACGAGCCTGTTGTATTACGAGAGGATAGCTGAGAGTAATTTACAAGAAAAGCACGTTAATTAAACGAAGAAAAATTAATCACAATATATAGTTGCGCGCGTTAGTTTTAGCTTTGCAGTGGTTTTCCTAGTGGCGGAGCGGGTTTTTCTTCCAGGAAAATTTGTGATTTTCTCAAAAAGAACAACAACTCAACAACGATGACGACAACAGCAACAACTATAACAACCATGTTTGTGAAACATTTGCCAACGAGTGTGGACGTACTACGTAAAAATAATTTATACACGCAATTATTGAGAGCGACGGATTCTGTAATAAGACTAAGAGTACATGCAAATGATGCCGATGAAAATGTTATTTTAACCCTTGTAAATATCAAAGAGGCGAGCGTCGTTCTTGACGAATGGCATCTGCTCCCGTACTTATTACGACAACAATTTATTCAATTACACACCACTTCAGTTGTTCCCATAATTTCCCATGGCGATGATGATGAAAAACTGTTTTTCTAATGTACATTATGATTTCTTTTTAATATTACATACACTTGACTTTATCCTTGAGAAAAAAAACCAGCACGTGTTTGATTTCAACCGACTCTATCATATTTCCTTTTTCTCTTGTGTCGTCTTATTTTTATATATTTCGGTTCCGTTTCGCGCTAATTGCAAAACTTTCTTTTCCTCTCTTTGAAGCAAAAGAGCAGCAGGCCAGACTATTCTCGCCTTCGCCGCAATGCTTCTTCTTCTTCTTCTTCAAAGTTAATTTCTCGTCGGGTGTGTGTGCAGTGCATGGCCCTAAAAATAGCGGCGTGTGTGTTTGTATGTGTTTGTAGACGGGCAGCGTAAATGTGGGCCGAGGTACAATTTTATAGTGTGGGTGGTCGTTGAGAGAAATGAGCCTGGCACTTTATATTTACAACAACTAATATCACATTGCTTCATAAAATTTGACGCCGGCTGCGGCACGGCAGCGCGGCCAGCATCAACTTAACGACCCAGTGAAAAATTAGCCCACTGCCTCTGCTCTCTGATGACTAATTTGTCCATTCTGAAAATCACCCGACGAAGATGGATGGGAGAAAAAATTTTGGTGTATTTAAGGCAGAGGAAAATCACATGTGGAATTTACTTAAAATTCTGATGCAGAAAAAATTCCCAGACATTTCCATAATTTTTAATTTTGTTTAATTTTTAATAAGAAAAAAAAAATCATTTGAGAAATTTCAACGAACAAGGAGGAAGAATAGATTTCCTTGTCATTTACCATCAAAGGGACAAAAAGGGACTTTTCCTTGGATGGAAAAAACTGATTCTCCTTCTACAAGAGGTAGTACATTAAGGAAAATTTGGCACCAGAGCGGAGCTTCACTCGGGCAGTGGCGGCAGATAAGCAGAGGGACACGCAAGAGTCCTGGGGACATTTTGATCACACTTTTCTTCTCTTCTCGGCCGCCGCACACAGACGCAGAGAGTAAAAAAAAAGACAAAAAGCGCACGTCTTTATCAGCAGGACGGAATTTTCGCAATCAGCCCCGTGGCGGCCACTCTCTTGCCTTGTGTTCTTTTGGAAATTTGTCCGCGCGCCGGATGCCTAAATTATTAAAATGAACCGAGGCGGCAACGAAGGAAAAATTCACTCGCGCGCGCACCAGGCAGTGGTATTTTTTGATTGCACGGAGGCGCGCGCTGGTCAATAATTAATGCGCACGCCGCGATATTCATGGAAAGAGAACCGGCCCTGGCTTTGCCTGCTATATTTCCCTTGATAGTGTGGCCTATAAATATAGATATGACGAGAGAGCAAACGCGGCGAGATGAGTCTGCAAACAGGAAGCAGAGGAGTGCACTGTGTTCTATTAAGATTCAGCTGCTGCAGCAAATAATTTTCTCAACCCGATGATGCATGTTAGAGTTTAAACAGGGAATTCAAATTTAACGGTTACAACAGCAAAATTACAAAATAAATTTTTTTACCTCATATTGAAGGTAAGATTTGTTCATTATTTATTTTGACTACGAGTTTTTTTATAAAAGCAAAATTAAAATATTTAAAAGATGATTATTTAAGACACTCAGCAACGAAAGGTTATCAACTTTTAAGATACATACCAAATTTCAAATGCTTTAAAAGTTAAATGATTCCAAAATCCAATGGAGATCCTTATTTAAAATCTCTTCCCAAGATAACCCATAATCAAATTTAATAATAATTTAAATTGGATCTAGCTTAGAGTGGACGGCTTGGGATGGATTATCGTTGTTTTTTTTTCTAGTAAACCGCCAGATCAATTTGATGACCTAAATTTTATGAAACAGACAGCCACTTTTTCTTTTCAATTTGAAGCTTTGTCGTCAGCAGTTTTGCGATAAATGGGGATCAAAGAGGTCGACTTTGAGATCCATCTCTCGGCAGCGCAGCCACAAAAATTGATTGCAACATCTTGTGTGTCCTCCTGCCTGCCGCTCTAACAAATGAACTTTTTGAGCGAGAAATGACGTGTGCCCTCTCCTGACTGAGAGTGGCGATAAATCGCCGCAAATGATGGAACGACTTTCATCTTGCCGCCCATACTTTTTGCTCTGGCAGCGCCCAATCAAAACCAATTCTGCGTATCTCTTTTAGTTTCAAATGTGTTTGCTATTAATAGATCCATTTTAGAGGCGCACGTAAATCAGCAACTAATCAAATCTGGACCTTCTGCTTCATGCTCTCCAGGTTCTTCTCAAACTCGAGCCTCGCACTCCTCTTAACCCGGTCCCACTTGCGCTTCTGCTGCTTTTTCTCCGCCCTGCTCTCCTGTTTTATTTTTTCCTGCTGATGTTTCTTCAGCGCGTTCACCAACGCCTGCCGAGCTTTCAGCTGCCTTGTTTTGGCCCTCTTCACCTGCAGGAAAAACAATAAATTTTCCGAATATACTGAAAACCTTGCCAAAATTAAAACCTTCTTGGCTGCCTTTGCCGACTGACGTCTGATTTCTGCAGCACTGGCTCGGCGCACCTCAAGCATCATGGCAGAGCTGGACCTGCGCTCCCGTTTCTCCTCAATTTTCTCTCCGTGGTCCTGCAGAGCCTCGGCAAGCAGTTGGCAAGCTTTGAGATTCACCAGCGAGTCACGAACTTTGTCCATCAGCTTTTGGTTCACTTCGCGAATCCACTCCTCCTCATGCTCCTGTGTCTCTTTGTGTTCAATCAGCAGTTCAGCATATAATTTCATGTCCTGAAAATATTGCAAATTTAAATATCTCTCTTGTTCCAATCTTTAATTAAGTGCGATGAATTTTTTTTGTATGATTAAAATCGTTTTTTTAATCCGACAAAAATCTAAATTCTTACTTGATCTTCTTCCTCGTCATCCTGCCAGCTCCCAACCGACTCTGCGCCGTCACAGATGGTGCTGTAGCTCTCCAAATCACTCTCCTCCTCATCTTC